TAAAAACTGTTTTAAGATTAAAGTTGTACATGAAGCTGTAGGGGGACACCTTGCCTCCTGCAGAGAAGAGCTGTCACTGCCTTCCTGCTCCAAGAATATGGCACCCAGATACCAGTGTTCTGAATCCACCTCCTAGCCTGCAGTTCTCCCGCCTTAATCACACCTACATTTCATCATCTTGAGGATAAATAGATAAGTTCAGGATGTTGTTCTACACCATCTGCTTAGAAACATAGTTTCACACACTTATAAACCCTCTTTAAAGAAATCTACTTCACCATGTTGTTATCTAACAAATTGGCAAAGTTTCCACTATAAATAATAGCCATCCCTCTCAACCCAGAGACTGTGATGCCAAATGCTCTTCAGTACAGCATCCATCTTATATCATTGGTCAAAGTTAGTTAGAACATGTTATAAAGATGTGTACTTAGCTTTTAATTGCTGACAAGACCTTAATAAAAGCGACTTGAAGGGAAGAATTCTTTATTTCAATCTTAGATTAGAAATTTTACGCTGCCATGTGGGCAGAGTACAGTGGAGCTCACATCATGTCACCCAAGAAGCAGAGTGAATGTTCTCCTTCCTCCTCCTGGCTCTTTTATTGCATGAGAGACCACATCCTATTGAAAGGAACTGTGGACTATGAGGTGGATCTTCCTCTCACAGTCAATTCTCTCTAGAGAGTTTCTCACAGACAGGTTCAGAAATACACTTTCTTAATCTATAAGCAATCCTACCCATTTGACAATGCAGAACTACTATAAAAGGTTCCCAAAGTATTTCTGTTTTCTTGAAACTTTCATGAGAATGGTAAGTGTAGAAATAAGATTATTCAGCAATATATAAGTTAGCAATATATATGTTTCCTCAGAGGTTTCCATGCTCTACATTCTTACATTTCTGTCTTTAGGACAGGCTCTGGACAAACTAAGCTACCTTTCATCAGATGCCTCACAATTTGTGTTTGTGTATGTGTGTTTGTGTGTGTATCTGCACATGATGCATCTTTCTCTTGATATTTATAAATTTACACAATATACATGTATGTATGCAGCAATAAATAAATCTATATGCATGTTTTAAAACCTATAGCCCATAGGGATATATGCCACTCATTTTTTAATTATTAACTTAATGATATTTGAAAAGTCTTTGCTCCATTTATATATTACCACACATTACTGTATATTATATTATATAATTCTGTAATAGTGGTAATAGTACTAACTATTCCTTGGATGTTTCCATAAATGAACTGAACTGTATTCTATTCATTCATATATTTTGTAGATTTTTCTATTTCTCCTGTTTCCGATTGTTTTGTAAATATCTATAGTGAAGCAATTGGTTTTTAATGAAAATAGTGTGCAATGAACCACTCAAAAACTTTTTGGCATACAACACAAGTACTTATATTCATCAGCAATTCATACATTTTTTGGTCACTCATAGAGCTTGAACTCAGGGCTAGCACTCTCCACTGTGAGGCACATGTCCACTTCTGGTTTTCCAGTGATAATTGGAGATAAGAGTCTCATGGACTTTCCAGCTGACATCCTCAGATGTCAGCCTTCTGAGTAGTTAGGATTCACAGGCATGAGCCACCCGCTCAAGACTATTCACACTCTTAATGACTGTTGATCCAACTGGAGCTCTTGTGTTGCAGGGCACTCAGCTTGCCTCTGACATGGATTTTGTTTGATCTTCCTCAGTGGCCAAAGAGTCACTTCTAGAGTTCATAAGTGACATCTAGAGATCAAGGTACATAGAGAAATTCAGGTCACAAAATGCCCAACACAGAAACACATTTGTAAAGGGCTTGTAGTCCAAAGCCTTGAGCTTGCTAAGCAATTCTGTTTTATTTTTTTCATTTTATTTTAAAGATGCTATACAGAGAGGTTGCAGTTATATGAGTAAGGCGATGAGTACATTACTTGTCGATCATTGTTACCCATTCCCTTGTTGTTGTCCCACCATCCCTTCACTCTGAACTAGCATATCATTATAAAATTTAGGAAAAATTTTCCATTAAGCAATGATGCAGTGTACATAGCAGAAGTTTGAAAATCAAAGATGAAAACATTCAACTCAAATGTGACTTTTCCACTTGAAATCTGGAAATTAGAGAAAGAATGTATTTTGAGGAAAATTTCTTTTCAATTCATAATTGCATACTATCAAAATATCACCTTAATGAGAAGTGAACAACAGATTTTACAATTTCAAATGATCTCTCAACTTCATATTTTTACAGTTTTGATCCCTCCATGAAGAGACCTGAGTCTAATGAAACACAACATTCAGGGAAGAGTGAGGCATGGTGCTTTTTTATTGTGAAAATACTGCACAGAGGGGTGTATTTGTAGTCACAATTAGATAGAAACTAGTTATGTGACAGAGCTCAGTGTGACCCAGAAGCACTTTCCCATACTCCTGTCAGGATGAGATGCACAGCAAATCTTGCTGTGTAGACTTAAATAAAACTGAATGAGACGAAGTATGTATGTTTGGTACACACATCCAGAGAGAGACTTTCCCTGATGGATTCTTCCATGTAGTTAGTTATAACATGGACCTAGATTACACCTACTTCCTGTGATTCTTCTAATTAAACAACTTGTAGACAAAGAATATACACATATAATTTAATACCTAAATATAAACTTTATTATGTTGTGCCTACTGTAGTTCTATGGTTATCTCTTACTGATGTACCTTCTACTTCCTCCAACCAAGTAATGTGGCCCTGTGATTGGAACTAGACTTAGGATAACCCTAAAACCCCAGACTAGTCCAGATCTATTTCAGAACAATGACACGAATGTAGGACAAAAATAAGCATCACATCACCTGGGTTATTACCCTGAGTTCAGAGACACAGAGAGGAAGAGAGTGAGGGCAGAGATGAAAAGTGCTGCCAGGAATCTAAGAACACCAGAAAGTCAAAAGAGAACTGATGGATCAAAAAGGACTCTATGTAAAGGACAGTGTCTTGGTTCAAGTTCCCATCTTCTATTTCAATTAGGCCCTCAGAGTGTAAAAACAATAATCAGAGTTTCATGCCAAACAGTCCCATGTTGATAACCCAGTAAGTATAAATTGCCACTTTGATAAATTCCTTTGTTCACCAGAAATTAGATCTCTGGCATAGCTCTCCTTCAGACATTCTGAGAGAAAGGACAATTCAAGAATCAACTTTGTTTCATCATTTTATTGTTCCCCTCCCCTTCCCTAATTCAGATAAATGTATATATAGTACACAGGATACCAAAATAAAATACAGTGACAACAGGGGATAAACCATAGGGGAAAACCGAAAAAAAAAGAAAAAAGAGATAATGCAAGAGCAATACTCACAAAACAATATGTTGGAAATGAACCTTACATCTTGGTGGGACATAATGAGGGAGGGAAAGTGGGAGGAAAATGGGAAAGAGAGTAACAATGTTCAACAAGAAATGCACTTACTAATTTACACATGTAACTGTATCCCCATTGTACATTATCTTGACAATAAAACAGAATTTAAAAATATCAACTTTCCTTGGAGGGACAGGAGAGAATGACATTATTTTACTCAAAACCTGACTTGTTGAATGGTAATTTCTTATCTTATTACTTAAAGATAATAAAGATATAATTAAAACAGAATCATCTTTTTCAATCTTTATTACCCTCATGACCACAAAAGTTTTAAACTAAAAATTCAAAGTTTAAATTTTATAGGCTCTGTGGCTCTCTTCCTCAAATCTATCCTCTTGACCATCCCACGACAGGTCATCCATTCCCCAGATCCACAGGGGTCCAACCCTGCTGCTTTGAGGAAGGTGGATGGATTCTGAATATGTGAACAGACAGTCCACACAAGAGTTGTTTTGTGATTTGTGTGGAGCAATGTGAGATGAAGGGTGGAAGTGATCTGCTGACTATCGGTAGAAGATCAGGACTTACTATTGCTAAATCAAGCAGAAGAATTGAAGGAGCCTAACTTCAAAACTGAGCTCCCACACAATTAAACTTGTGCCTAAAAAGTCTGAATATTTTTTATTTACATTCGTGTCTGGATGAACTAAAACACAAGACACATAAGTAGAAAAAACATTTACATAACATTGTCTTTTAAAATGAAACAGCTGGATACCACTGACTCAGGCTTGTAATCCTAGCTACTCAGGAGGCTTAAATCTGAGGATCACAGTTCAAAGCCAGCTGGGGCAGAAAAGTCCATGAGAATCTTATCTCCAATTAACCACAAGAAAACCAGAAGTGGCACTGTGGCTCAAGTGGTGAGCGCTAGCCATGACATGAAAATGTCAGGGACAGTGTCTAGTGTCCAGAGTTCAAGCCCCATGAAATACATATATATGTATATATGTACATATATATGTATATATATGTATGAAATACATATATATGTATTTATACGTATATATATACATATATACATACAACATGCATAAAGAATCATATAGTCTGCAGCATGATGGATAGACGTAGAGAACACCTTGTTAACAAAAATAGTAAAGACAAAGAGCATTGTCTATACTCCTTCTCACTCAAGCAAAATTTTAAAAAATAAAATGCAATAGTGATACTATGGGGCTGACAAGGGCACAGGATCAGAGCGCAGGAGGTTGAACACAGAAGAAAGATGGAAGACTATAATCAATGCACATAATACACATATACTGAGAAACCCAGAATCCCATTAATGATTACAGATATGTACATTAATAAAAAAATAGGCTATCAGAAAATAAGGGAATAAAATCTGAAGCAATGAATCCATTCTTTGTATTAAAGGCAATTCCTGCTTAAATACCGTTATTTATTTTATTATTGCATAAATATCAACTGATACAATTCAGACTCTCCAAGTATTAACTGGCCTTTTCTGACAACATTCTGAGCAGGTGGAGGCAGCAGGAGGAGCTGCTGGGGCAGCCCAGACTCATACTTCAGCTTCCCTGGGAGGTTTTTGTTATGGCTTGTATCACTGTGGGAGGGAAACTGCTACACTGTTGACAGTAATAAGTGGCAACATCTTCGGGCTCCAGGCCACTGATCCTGAGAGTGAACTCTGTCCCAGATTGACTCCCACTGAACCTTGATGGAACTCCGGACTCCAAAATATCTGCACCGTAGATCAAGGGTTTAGGAGCTTTCCCTGGTTGCTGCTGGTACCAGGCTAAATAATACTCAATATCCTCACTGGCCCTGCAAGTGATGGTGGCAGTGTCTCCTAGAGACACAGATAGTGAAGATGGAGACTGGGTCATCTGGATATCACACTTGGCACCTGGAAGCAGAAACATGAAAACAAATATCCACACTAATTTTCAAGTTATAAGAAGGCATCCCTGAAGAGTAAGCATCCTGGATCACACTGAGTTGTGTTAATCCCTAGCATTGTCCTACTTTACCTGCAAGCCAGAGCAGCAGGATCCCCAGGAGCTGAGCAAGGGTCCTCATGTCCATGCTGTGTGCTGACGTGGACTGACTACTGCCTAATGTGAGCAGTCTATGAAGAAGTCCTGAGCACACTGGGCTGTGCTGTTGGTGCATGCAAATCAGCAGCAGAGTTATACACAGCTGTCGAGCTGCCTCATCTCAGCAACTCTGCATTCTGAGTCTCAAGGGAACTAGGTCGGGCAACAGAATAAGTTTTAAACACAGAAGAGAATCTCCAAGTTGCTTTCCTGTGATGTGCGCACAACAATGGTAACTTTGAGGATCAAAGCTTTTTTTCCATCTTATTTCTTTAACTGAGTCAAGACTTGTTCACTGGAGTGTTAGTGCCAGAAATTTATAAACAAATTTTGCACAACACAAATTTGGCATTTCTTTGTTATTATGCAGGACAGAAACTTTTACAGTAGCTCTGATTCACTGATAATCTGTATGTGTCAATTTATCAGCACTGTGGTCCTGTAATGAATAAGTGTAGCTGTTGTGTTGATAAGAAAATGCCTGGACTTCTGTACTGTGCTGTTCAGCCTTATTATCTCCTTCATCTCTGAGTATTTGTCCCAGGTGATCCATACCAGCACGTCCTTTCAGAGCCTTTCTCCCTTCATGTCTGAACAGCCTTTATAATTTTTACTGACCTAGAATTTTGTATCAATTTATATGTCCATTCTGAAGGTTCTCATATTATTCCTTCTGGCTTTTAATCATCTTCACCACAACTACTATGTTCAGAAGCAGAGATAAATTCTCCTTAAAAGGGAGGATAAACTCGGGCTGGGAAGGTAGCTGAGTGGTAGAGCTGTTGCCTTGCATGCCTGAGGCCCTGGGTTCGATTCCTCAGCACCACATAAGCAAAAAGAAAAAAGCCGGAAGTGGCACTGTGGCTCAAGTAGTAGAGCGCTAGCCTTGAGCTGAAGAGCTGAGGGACAGTGCCCAGGCCAAGAGTTTAGGCCCCATGACCGGACCCCAAAAAAAAAAAAAAGAAGGATAAACTCAGGTTATCTTGAAGCCTATTTTGTAGCCTAAACCTACATATGTCTCCTGTTCAGTGGACTCTTCTAGATCCTAAGAGAACACTGTGCTGCACACCTAGGTAAAAGATATTTGGCCCAAGCAAAGTGAGTATGTTGGAATCTCTGAACAGAATCTTGAAATCAATAGAACATGGAAATGTCATCCATATTAGGATAAGGCAACATGGGAGAACTGATTTTCTGTGCAAGGGAGAAACATCATTTTTGACTCCACTGTATGTGCTGAGATGGAGTGACCCAAGAGGACATCCATATGTGTTGGATTTTCCTGTACAGATGTCAGGGCTCAGGAAGTCACTATTGCATGGGATACAAAGTTGGCTCATCTTATCCATGTTATCACATTCTGAGGAATATCTGAACAAATCTGGGGTTGGGGGCAGGGTGTGTATGATCTGATCATGTAAGTGGCAGTAACACCAAGAGTTTCATATCACCCAGAAGAGTTGTTGATCATATGACTAAATTAATGAGGGAAAATAAGAGCCTATGTTCTTGAGGTTAAAAAAAAGTAAGCTAATTAAATGAAAATTTCATCTAATGTTAGTGACATATTTCAAAGATTTTTATACTGAATATTTTCTGGAAAAAAGAAAATCAGAAAATTTTTCTAAGAATTCATTTAATAATAACCTAATTTTTTTATGAGTGAAGTAATTACCATAAATTTACATATGTATGATGTATACATATGTATATATGAATGTGTACATGTAAATATATATACATATTGATGAATAGATGCACAAGTGGATAATTTTTTCTAATCTAGAAGTAATGATGCTTTCATTTTAATAACAGATAGCACCTTCATTAATTGACCTAATTTATTCTCTCATAAATAAAACCAGTGACCTTTGCACAACAGTTTATTTCTTTCTCAAAAATAGAAAAAGAGGAAGATGAGTTTGGATCATTTTTTGTCACAAACTACAAATTCATATTGGATGATGTACAGGAAAGAGTGGAGAGAAATCAGCTAACAAGAATGCCCACTCGCCAATTTTGAGATTTTTTGAATATTTAATAAATACCAAAGTATTCCATGAAATAAATTGTAAGTCCTTGGATTAGTAGGGATATTTTCACTAGGGATGTGATATCCATAAACCACCATATAGTTCTCCACAAATCCTCACAATTTCAAAGGAAAAAGAACAACTATATAACAGAGAAATCCAACAGCCAACACCTTAATCTAGAATTGAAATAAAGATCATCAGTAATGATGTCCTTATAGAAAATAGCAACACTTCTGGACTTTGCTCACATATATCCATTACTGAAAGAACTCTGAGGGGAAAAAGGCACAAATCTAATCTGAGAGACATTCATCCACATGATTAGTATGTGTTCACCACGAGCAATAAGAACACAAAATTTAAGACTGAACTAAAACCCTGTTCCTTGGTGGCTTGATTATTGGGATGTGGTCTGACTACTTTGTTCTGACTTAACTGGAACCATATTCCTACCATTCTATAGAGGTTGAACTATAGGTGTGAACCATTATGGCCATCATGACCATTAAAGTATTCTTTTCTTTGGAATTTTTGTGTCTTGAGATCATTCATCTACAGCCATCTCTTCACAAGTTCATAAACATGGTATGTACAGTGACTAAGACTAAAGATTTAATTCACATGTCTGGTTAAGAGAACCTTAGTGATTTCAAACTAAGATCTTTTTGAAAATATAATGACATAGTGAGCTATATATGTTAAAAAACAAAACAGTAACACATAAAATTTTTGACCACTGTTTTTATACTGCTACAGAATAAGAATACATTTAATTTCTTTTTAAATTATTATATATATATATATATATAGTAAAAATACTGTACAGAGGGGTTACAGATACATGAGTAAGGTATTGAGTACATTTCTTATCCACCATTGGTATCTCCTCCTTTGGTTTTCCCCTACTGTCCCTTCCCTCCCCACTTCCCCAACTACTCCCTTTCCACAACTCCCCCAATGAAGTTGTAAAGTTTGGTTTCAATATAGCATCTTGTACATCTCATTGTTATAATGGGCAATCTGTATCCTTATTTCAGCATTTTGTTATTTATATTACCCTCCCCAAAATAGAAAAATGTATATACAAGATGCAGGGCACCAGAATCAAATACAGTGAAAACAGGGGTTACACCATGGGGGAAGAACATACAAAAGAAACAAAACAATAGCATAGTACATTATAAATTCCTTAAAAAAATAGCAAGAAAGATAAAACCATTTGTGTCCCTATCTTGGGATGCATTTTGCTTAGCATCATTTTATGTGGTCATAGGTACATAGCTTTTGAGCATTTCTGCTTGTCCTAGACATACACTAGTCTTTGTCAGCATATATTAACTGTAGAGAAGAGTTTCATTCTGACATTTCCACACAGGCATACAATGTACTCCATTAACCTCACACCCTTGATCTCTCATCCTTATCCCCATATTTCCCTTCTTAAAGCAGTTGCATGGGTTTTGCTGGCCTTTTTCATATATTCCAGAGAAGCACTTCAATAATCTTCACCTTCATAACTTCCTCCATTCATAGTACTCGCTCCATAAAATGCCAACATAGCCTATTTCATTCTCTTGTCATTCATTTGTTTCATATATATATTAATTGTACCAAGGGCTTTCACCATGGTATCTCACTTGTGCATAAATCATATTTCCTTTCAGTTTCTTTTTGCTGGTTCTAGGGCTTGAACTCTGGGAATGACCAATGTCCCTAAGTATTTGTGTTCAATTCTAACTCTCTACCACTTAAGCCACAGCTCCAGTTTCACCTTTCTTGTGGTTAATTGGAGATAAGAGTGTCACAGACTTTCCTGGCATGCTGATTTTGAACCATTATCCTTATATCTCAACATCCTGAGTAGTTAGGATTACAGTAGTGAGCCACAGGTGCCAGGTTATATATCATCTTTTAATCAGAACAACCCTCTCTATTAATCTTGCTTTTGGAGACATCAATGGTATTTTTTTAAAGGATTGACCTCTTTCTATTGTGTTCTTTTCCTTTTTAATTTTATTTTAAAATAAAATCATTTAACTAGGGATACAGGAGGACCCATTGCAACAATGAGATGTATAAGTCAATGAGATGTACAAGTCATTATGTCGAAAAACAAACTTTACAATGTTGGTGGGGGATGGGGGGAGAATCAGATTGGGGGAAGGGGGCTAGTATTGGAAGGGATGGGAAGGGGAAACAAAGGGGAGACAACAATGCTTGATAAGAAATGTACTCATTATCTTGCCCATGTAATTGTAACTCCTCTGTATGGTATTCTCACAATTAAAAAAATAGATTGCTTTACAGCTTAAAATAAATTAATAAATTAAATTAAATTAAATTAGAATCATAATTACATTGTGGATTTTTTTACTAACATCGTAGGATATAAGATAAACTAGTCTTCCATTATTGAATAACAGTGATTAGAACTCCATGATCATTTGGCAATATTTCTTTGATAGTTGGCAGAGATTTCAGTTTACAAAGAAGTGAACAGAAGAATACAGAAACAAAGGAAAATTCCAGAGAAGAATCACAAAGGAAAATTAATACAGAAGCTTATTTGTATACTAAGATATGATTTTTATCTACTTGTCTCTTCTACCCTTTTTGTACTACTTCTGTATTAGGAGACGGTTTGGGCTTGTTGCTACCTAATGCTAAGAATATGTATACTCTTAGCCATGTGCAGTCTTCTTTCTCATATACCATTACCATGTCATTTTTTTCTCCATGAATCTAAGACCGACAAGGCCAAATCTTGGACAAATATTGAGATGATCACAGCCAAGGGCATGGCTTCTCAGACAGGCTATTCAGCTTTCCTGCATATGTTCACTGCAATGGGTTTAGATTCAGCATCTTACAAAGCAAATTGTCTACAAACATTCATAGCTATTTGGAGTGAGAACTTCCATGTGTAATTGATGTATTGTAACAAATTGTTGCAAAAGATGAATTAATAAAGCAAACAGAAATGGCCATGGCCAATTTAAAGAT